TGACTCGAATGGAGAAATTTGAGGAAGCTCTGCGTGTTCTTGATAGGAAGGTCTCGGCGACGCTGACTATAGTTCCAATGGAGCTCCCTTCAGCTACCCAAATGGTGTTCGATACCAGTACCCCAACTGGTGTGACTTTGCCTCCATTATATGAGCAGCAACTCACGAAGTCCCCAAAAGGTCAAGATCGTAGTGCAGATCTGTCACAGCCCATCCCAGAGCTTTACAACCCTGAATTACAGGTAACCCCTATGGCTCCTCGAGTATTCCTGTCTCAAGGCAAAAAACCCATGTTTTGCTCCCTACCCACTTATGCCCAGGCGAACCCTAAGGCACACCGTCCTCTCCCCTCCTATTCCTACTCTACCCCAAAAGAAGTGTTCACATGTTCTGAAGTGCGTGATCTTTCTAAGAAAGGCACCCCAACTTCTCGTGCCTTAGACTTTGGCAGTGAGCCTCCTTACCCTCTTGCTATTACACAGACTCCATATCCGCAGGGATACTTGGTCCCCAAATTCCCCCAGTTCAATGGCAAGACCGGTGATCCTAGGGAACATGTCATGCACTTTGTTGAGGCTTTGGGTCATTTCGGTGATAATCATGTGGTTCATCTACGTGAGTTCTCTAAATCTCTAACTGATCGAGCTTACCGTTGGTATTTCAACCTTGAACCAGACTCAATCAGTACTTGGGAGCAACTGAAAGATCACTTCCTCACTAAGTTTTTCCAGGCTGAAGAACGGGTCACCACCTTGTCTCTCACAAAGGAGGCTCAAGAGGACAATGAGGATATCCTCGCCTTTATCAATCGTTCAGAGATCGTGCAGGTGAATGCTTTGAAAGTAGTAATGAAATGGACTTGGTTGATATTGCATCTAGGGCATGCTGCAGATTTACAAGCTCCACCTTGTCAACCTAAGGATAACTCGCTTTGGCGAGCTCAAGATTGCAGCCCGGAATCTCAAGTATCTCAAACCAACTGCCGCTAAGTATGAGCCTCTAAAATATGATGCCTCTAAGTTTGAAGCTCCGAAACCTTCCAATCGTAGGCCTGCACCTGCAGCGACCATTAAGGAACGCCCCCGAAAGCAGTTTGACAAATCCCAATTCAAGCCACAAGGCGAGGAACCACCACCTTTCCCCATCCGTATTGAGGAAGTTAAGAATACACTCACCCAATGGGTCAAGGATGGCAATGTCGTTCTACCTACCCCACGTCGCGAGCCCACCCCGGCAGATCGAGCTAACACTGATTTATGTGTCTACCATCAAAGTGTTACTCATCCCACTATTAATTGCTGGGGCTTACGCCGCCTCTTTCAACGGCGAATGGTAACTGGTGATCTTGAAGTCACCCCTCCTAAGGATGTTCACCGGTTCCCGTACCCTGATCATCGTGTGGCTATTATCACCTGCTATGATGAACTAGCGGAAATAAATTCAGGCCATGAGACAGAGCCTTCTTCAGAAGCAGATATGTGTCCTTTGGTTGCCTCTGTTAAACCCAACTCTCCTGCATTAAAGAAAACTTTATCCTTTTCCGATGCTGACAAACAGAGCCCAGGTGCCCAAAATAGACCATTGTATATACTGGCTTCTATCAAGGGAGTAGAATTCAAGCGTGCTTTCTTCCATTAATGTCATGCCCCTCTCCGCCTTTCGCAAGGCTGGCATCTCCGAGGATCGTCTGGTTAAAGAGCCAATCGAAGTTGTAGGATTTGGCAATGATCTTCATTGCACGATGGGTTATGTTAATGTTGATCTAGCTGTTAACAAATTCCAAGCCTCCACAAAGTTCCACGTTATTGACAGTAACACTTTTTATCACATCCTTCTGGGACACGCATGAATGCACCGCTTTGGCATTATCCCTTCCACTTACCATCAATGTTTCAAAGGTATCTGGAATAACAAGGTTGTCACCATCCCCTGTTCCGATCGCCCTTTTGCCACCTTCGAGGCTCATTACACGGATGCGTTATTCTTCAATGACCTTGATGACTGCGCACAAGACTGCGATGCAACCATTATCAGTACTCCCCTACCCACATGGGCTGACGCCCAAAAGGGCATTTTTCATCCTCCCTCTCCCCGTGCAGACAGGCGATGCCCCACGTGAATGCAAACGCGTTCGCCTCCCCAACAGTCATGTCATCTACCGTTTATGACGGTGCCCGGGGTCAGTAGAGGTTCACTCTACTAACCCCCCAGCATATCAGCCTCAAGTTCTCGAGAAAGCACAACTGCCAGATAAATATCCCAATGAACCGCCTCGCATCACGTTCCTCTCGGGTACACTCAGCTCTCAAGATAAATATCACCTTGTCTCTCTTTTGCAGGAATTTCGCGATGTATTTGCATGGACATACAGCGAGATGCCAGGGCTTTACCCTTCGCTGGTCTCCCATCATCTCAATGTTTTGCCCAACGTTCGCCCAGTTAAACAAGGCTCGTGAACATTCCGGCCAGAACTTGAGTTGCAAATTAAAGATAAGGTCTAAAAGTTGTTAGCAGCCTACTTCATCGAGCCTATCATCCACCCCACGTGGTTAGCGAGCATCGTTCCTGTGCAGAAGAAGAATGGCTAACTCAGGGTGTGCGTTGATTTCAGGGATCTTAACAAGGCTTGCCCAAAGGATGACTTCCCTTTGCCCATTATTGATACTCTGGTCGATGGCACTGTAGGCCATGAAATGTTTTCCTTCATTGATGGTTTTAGTGGTTACAATTAGATCCGAATGGCTGAGGGTGATGCAGAAAAGACAGCCTTTCGAACGCCTCTTGGTAATTTTCACTTCACTATCATGCCCTTCGGTTTGAAAAATGCAGGTGCCACATATCAACGAGCCATGACTGCTATTTTCCATGATCTACTCCATCACAATCTCGAAGATTATGTGGATGATTTGGTGGTTAAGTCTAAACAGAAAGCCAATCACCTCCATGACTTACGCCAAGTGTTTGAGCGTTGCCGCCAATATAATCTCAAAATGAATCCCTTCAAATGTGCCTTTGGAGTCAACCATGGCAAATTCTTGGGTTTTATGGTCACTCGCCAGGGTATTGAGGTCGATCCAGCAAAAGCCAAAGCAATTCTTGACATGCCATCTCCAACGACTTCTAAGCAGCTGAAGAGCTTTCTGGGCAAAGTTTCTTATCTTCGTCAATTCTTGCCAGCCATCGCGGAGGCCACACATGCCTTTAGTACCCTTGTTAAGGGAAAAGCGAAGTTCTCATAGACAAATATTCATCAGGCCGCCTTCGAGCAGATCAAGCATGTGCTATTGTCCCCGCAGATCATGCATACTCCACAAAGCGACTAACCCCTCTTCCTCTATGTTACTTCTACACCTCGATCCATTGGGGCACTGCTCGCACAGGAGATTGATAACCAAGAACACCCGGTCTACTACATTAGTCGTTTGATCCGTGATGTTGAAGAACGGTATTCCCTTATTGAAAAGCATTGTCTCACCTTGGTCTTTGCTGCGCACAAATTCCGGCACTACTTCCTCGCCCATCGCATCATTCTTATCACTAAATGCGATCCCTACAGGCATCTTCTCTCTAAACCAATGCTTACAAGCAAGGCCGCACGATGGCTTCTATCCTTGGCAGAGTTTGACATCACCTGCCAACAACCGAAGGCCATTAAAAGTCAAGCTCTCACGGATTTGCTCGCTCAATTCCCCAACGCAGCTCATGAGCCGGTGGATGAACAGTTACCTCTCGATAACCTGCAGGTCGCCTCTCTTGAGCAAGCTCAGGAATGGAACTTGTCTTTTGACGATTTTTCCACCACAAAGGGCGGAGGTGCAGACATTGTGCTCTCCTGCCCGACCCTCACCTCCACCGCTGCTGTTAAACTTGATTTCAAGTGCACTAACAACGAAGCTAAATATGAAGCACTCATCCTGGGGCTATTAACAACACTCGATAAGCAGGTCTCTCGGTTGTGCATCGACGGCGATTCAAAGTTGATTGTCAAACAGACTTCAGGTGAGTTTGCAATTCGAGAGCCCTCCTTGGCCTCGTATCGCACAATAATTCAAAAGTTTCTCTCCCGATTCACCACCATTCGCTTGGGTCATGTCTCTTGATCTGTCAATTAATATCCCGATGCTCTTGCTACACTCGCCTCCAAACTTGACATCTTTAGCCCCGCACAACAAATTACTGTTCATAAACAAACACAGCCTGCCATCACCAGTTTGCTCCCTCTTGAAGATATCACTGATTGGCGTCGCCCAATTATAGATCAAATACGGACCTTCACCGGTTCATTACCCCTTACTCAGCTCAAATGCTTTCATTTGATCCAAGAAGTCCTTTATCATCGATCCCCCTCTGGCATCCTCAGTCGCTGTCTTGGGGACGCCGAGGCTCGTGAAATCCTTCACCGTGTTCATCAGCAACATTGTGCCACTACTGATATCGCTCTTTACCGGCGGCTCCAACGCCAAGGCTATTACTGGCCTCAAATGTCCAATCAGGCTGCCGCGTTACAGCGCACATGTGTTGCTTGCCAGAAATGTCCTGATGCAACTGAGGTCCTCGAGCTCAAGTTAGCTGATTAGCGGACCCCCTTCATTCGTTACCTCCAACATGGTCATCACCCAGACAATCGAACCTTGGCCGCCAAGCTTAAACACCAAGCGCCACGCTTCCAAGTTTGCGATGGTCGTCTATTCCGCCTCTCTCGCGAAGGGCACCTCCTGCGATGCCTTGCTGGCGCTGAGATCCGTGAAGCACTTTATCAAGCTCACTTCCTCGAGCATCAGGGTGCCTACAAATTATTTCAACACTTGATCCACAAAGGGCTCTACTGGCCAACTATAGAGCATGATGCTAAGATGCTTATTCAACAATGTCAACCGTACCAATACCATCACCATCGGATCCATACTCCCCCAACAGTACTTCATCCACTTGCCGCCCCTTGGCCCTTTCACACTTGGGGTCTGGACCTCATTGGCCCAATCAATCTTTCAGTTCGTCAAATGCATTGGATCCTCACAGCTGCAGATTTCTTTTCCAAATGGGTTGAAGCCATCCACTTGCTCCATGCCACAGGCATCGCTGTTACAGCCTTTATCCGTGAAAATATTATTTGTCGGTTTGGCATCCCAGTGATTATCCTCTCAGATAATAGCACCCCCTTCGTTAATTATCGGGTTGCTCAGCGTCTTCAGCAATATAACATCACACAGCGCCGATCTTCTGCCTACTATCCCAAAGGCAACGGCCAAGCTGAAGCAACCAATAAATCTCTCCTTAAGATCATCAGTCGCACGGTCGCCGAGCACAAGTTTAATTGGGTCGATCAGCTGCCCTTAGCTCTTTGGGCCCATCGCACCTCCAAAAAGCGTGCCATAGGCCAAACTCCTTTTTCTCTCCTGTATGGCACAGAAGCTATTCTCCCAATCAAGATTACCATTCCTGCTGCTGCTTTGGCCGCTCGAAGCGAGGTCGACCATTTCACTCATCTTGAGGCCTTAGATGAACAGTGGGAGTTAGCATGCCAACATCTCAAGGTCTACCAACATACCTTGGCAAAATCTTATAACAAGCATGTACGGCCTCGTACCTTCTAGGTCGATAACCTTGTTCTTAAAGCTGTTAAACACATTATGCACAACACATCTGCCACAAAGTTCACCCCCAAATGGGAAGGGCCCTATGTTGTCATTGAGGTCCAACCCAGTGGTTACTGCAGACTGCAGGGTGATGGGCGCAAGGCTGAACCCATAAATTCCAGTTGGCTAAAGTTTTATCACAGTTAGTTCTTTTGTACTTTCTGTTAGTCTTATATCAGATATAATATATGCAAGTTTTCTTATCACACCATTTCTATAACTGCTCAACTTTCATTCAATAACAAAAGCTAATACATAATGGACCTGCTGGTCATTGATTTACAATCATTAGCCTACTCATAATTTAGCAAAATGGTTATATCGCCACCAAGCTCGTTGTAAGTCTCTTCTACTAGAGCCCGCTGTTGTTCTGCCATTGACAGGCGAGCCTGAATCTCCTCCAACATACGCCTGTCACGTGCAATTCGGGCATCCAACTCTGCCATCTCCTTTGCCAAGAGAGCTCGCCCCACTACTCGCTCGCAAGCGTCAAGTCTCCTGTTTAGCCATTCTATTTCCACTCGGTCCTTGAGCAACTCAATTAGCTCGCAGGCCTCCTACACCACTTCGTTCTACCCCTCCCCTCATGCCACAGTTGTAAATATTTCGAGTACTCGCCCCAAGGCTTCGTTCCCAAAGCGACGGAACATCGGATGTCTCCTTCCGATCGCCTCCACCGTCGCTGGTTGCGCTCAGTTCGCCGCCTCTAGCAAAGGGATGAAGTGTGCCCCAATCAGCACCCCTAGCCAGGCTGCCTCCTCTGTCGCAGCCATGGCACAATCCACCCCGTCCTGTTACCTCTCTTGGACTGGGGGCACTCCACCTATCCCACTATTTTTGCCACTTTCAGTTTCTTCGCCTGACAATCGCCTATTTAAGGTACTGTTTGAGCCTTCCAGGGAAGATTGCGATTACAGCACTTCCACCTCATGAGGACCCATCTGTATCTCTGCTTCCATAACCTCCAACCTCATGGTGTCTCCTGAGACCTGCTCTTCCTCTGCTACCTCTTCTTCCTCCTTCGCATTGGATGCCCTCTCACTCGGGTATTCTAAAAACAATGGGGGCATCAATGATTTTGGTATCGAGGGCTTCTCCACTCGTGGCATACGTAAGATGGTTATCAGCGTCTTCTTTACAATCTCTGGCCGACGTCCTACAACCCACAAATGATATTAATTGTAATTCAAAACATGATAAATGAACCACTTTCACTACTTACCCATCACTGTCCGGATCGGAGGCAAAGAAGTCTCAGCTGTCATCAGTCGCCTGACGATCTCTCTTTTCGAGCCCCCGGCAGCTAGCGCTGCCCCGACACCACCGCTAAACTTTTCACTCGTGCTTGATGCCTCCGCCGTCTTGCCCTTTTCCACCCTCGGCGAGGCATCATCACTACTAAGCTCCAACACTTCTTCTGTTTCCTCGACTGACTCTTCATCCTCTGACACTTGGCTTGCTGAAGCTTTCCATTTTTGCTGTCTCCGGTCAGCGATCGACTCTTCACTAACCACTTTCTTAGACTGGGCCTCCGTCGATGCCCTTCTATCTGCTCTTGGCTCGACGGGTGCAACGGATACATATGCCTCGGGTACCGCATCATACGCTACATCGCCCATTTCTGCATCCAAGGGAGCCATTATCAATCTATAGCCTCGTACTCTTAGCCTAAGCATGCGCAGGGACACATCATCCTTGTATATAGGCATGGGAGCAAAAGGACGAGGAGTCTGCAGGCAAAACCTCCTGAAGGCCCCCACACAATCTACCCAAAATTGCCTGTAGTTGCCTGTTATATCCCCATGGCGATTTCACGAAGGAATCAAGATACTGCCATTTTCTTCCTCGGATAGGTCTGTAGCACACTATACCAGAATAAGACTTCGTCAAACTCATCATATCTTTCTTCCAAACCACAATCGCTTGAACCCCTTGATCATAGCCAAATTGCCTGGGTACCCGCCTTGGGTTATACACTTTGCTCACATCGCCCAGCTCAAATCGCCCGGGCAGATGTCCTGGTAGCACCACCAAGGCAAAAGTTTGCTCATCTGCATCCCCCGATTCTTGCCTTGGTATGATCACCCTCGACTCTTCCCAATAGATTCCCATGTCTGCCACCCCTGTTATCTCCTCTCGATAGGGCCTGAACACAAACTCTCGTTCGGAGTCGATCACTTCCCCAAGTGCTTGCCTGCACATCTGCCCTGACCAACGTCTCCCTCGTGCCCCATGGTCGCTCAATTCCAAGGGTAAAGGGCCATATGCGGGGAATCTCTCATACAAGAACATCTGTAAAAACCCACTGGCTACATAGAACACCATGGGATAACGGCCAGTCGAGCGCATGCTATCCTCAGTAATCATGTCCAAAAACAACGGCCCCAGTGGGATCGCAATCCCACTTGCTATCTTTACCGCTATCAGACACCATCGACTCCAAGGTGCATCGTCTGGGGTCCCTGGGAATATATACTTGGACAACCAGCACAGTACATATGCTGCGAGCTCTGCAGGATGTCCAATCTTGTCTCCATCAACAAAGGGGCGCTCGGACTTGTCCCCCTTGAAGGAAGGCTGCAGGTCCTTGAACCAGTAACGTATCCAGGCGCCTGTTGTGCATTTTCTGGCTCCTTCCGCCCTCTCTTCACGTCTGGCCCCCTTCGCATTAAAAAAGGACCCATAACTCTTTGTCTTCTCCAAACCTTCCTCTAATGCAGTCATGATACCCTTCTCTGCTTCATCCATCGTCAGGGGTACTGTATACCCTCTACCCATGACATGCAGGCCTAGTAATTGGGCCACGTCTTCCAATGTAGGCGTAAATTCTCCCCACTTCGCCACAAACGTGTGGGTTGCGCTACACCATCTCGACACTAGCAATTGCAATCCTGGGGTATCGCGTGGCATTTTCAATTTACGGGACAAACGCATGGCTCGAGCAACTCGTGCTTGTCGCAACCATAGCATATACATTTTATGGCTGAAGATGTGCTCAGACCACTCCTCCCATCCTGCACATGGGCCCACCGGTGTTTTAAACTCCATAAAACAAAAGGGATACATCCCTTGTTCAATGGCAAATCGGTGTATAGAGTCTGCCGGCAGTTGAGCTCCCACTTCCACGGCGACTTCTCCTTCCATTAATTGGGCCACATCACTGTCAATCTCATCACTAGTTATGTCTCTTGTAGCTGTCCAGAACCTATCCATGGGCCCAAAGAACGGAGCCCTCTTCCATTCCTCCTCCGGCAGTACTTCAGGCACTAGTTCACCGGGTTTACTCAACTGCTTTCTCTTTGTCATTTTATCGAATACCTTACCCGCTCTTACACAGTAGCTTTACTACCCTCACACACTCAATTGTTTAACACAGTACGCTCACTTCACTTTGCTCTTTGGCCTAGCACAGTCTTTCCTTTTTTCTCTTTCCTTTCTGTAATGGTTTCCCCTCTCTCCGCCCTGGTTCTATATATATAGATCACGGTTAGAGCTTTGGAGAAGACGAAGACACCGAACAGTTGTGTCTCATCACCTCCCCATTAAATAGGTAACTGACAGCCGCTGAAAAGATATCGGTTTCCAAGGCAAGACATTATTACGTTTTCTATGCACGCGCTGCTTTATCTTTTTATTTCAAAATTCAAAAACGCCACGTGCAGGGGGACTAAATGTGGATGTGGTTTAGCCACGTCACCAAGGGCCAAGTCAAACAGTCAACACTTTAACAAAGTCCACCTCAGCAAGGCATGTGATAGTCGATCATTGGACCTTAATATTAGTCTATATTCGGCTGATGGGCTTTGAACCTGGATCACATCATAACCTCGATCCGAGTTATTGTCGATCGAGGGGCCTTGGACCTCGATCTGACCTTTTGACAATCTGTTGGTCGATGGGCCTTGAACCTCGATCTGTTAATCACAAATCATTGATCAACGGGCCTTGAACCTTGATCTGAGTCACAAATTGTCGATCGATGGACCTTGAACCTCGATTTAACCCTTGACAATTTGTCGATCGACGGGCCTTGAACCTCGATCCGACCTTTATAAACTGTCGATCGACGGGCCTTGAACCTCAATCCGACCTTCACGATCTGTCGATCGACGGGCCTTGAACCTCAATCCGACCTTCACGATCTGTCGATCGACGGGCCTTGAACCTCGATCTGACCTGCCGATCGACGGGCCTCGAACCTCGATTCGACCTTCACAATCTGTCGATCGACGGGCCTCGAATCTTTATCCGACTCAATTTGTCGATCGACGGGCCTTGAACCTCGATCTGACACTGCCATGATCGGTGGGCGTCGAACCTCGATCCAAGCAATTAAGAGTTATGGTAGGGCTCTTCAGGTGACATTGGGATGCAGAAGGGATTTTGGAATGGAGGATGGAAAATTAATAATGTCTTGCCCACTAAGGCAAGACCCAGTCTAAAAATAAGAGCAAAAGGCAGCTGGAATAGTACAAATGCCTTTACAGCCTACCATTTTTTGGATTATTCACCAGGAAAGGTACACTTGGTAGTAGATCCAAAAATGTAGGGTTTAGGGCAACATGACCCAAAAAAGGAATGACCCAGACCCATTTCCAAGATGGAGGCCCAACAGTGTACCAGCTGGATGACCTAAGGCTATAAAAAGAAGGTAATGATGAAAAAAGGATGCAGGAACTGACGGCAGCTTCTTCCCTACCATTGCTCCAATTCTCTGACTGGACTGGTTTTCTCTCCCTTCTTCCACCTTTCTGCATTCCTCATATTGCTCAGTGATATATTCCCAGACCTCTTTTCTTTGACTATTCAACCAACGAGAACCAAGCATCTACACACACCAAAGTTTCAACTGGAGTCGAAATAGCTCCGATGATAATAGTTGCGGCGAGCCTTACAATCTTCGTACAACATTGGCCAAAATAATCCTCAACTAGCATGCATTCTCCACCGGACGATAATTGAACAAGAGAGCGTCAAGAACACATTTCAATTCTCTGAAATTTGTTGATGAAGAATGCCATTGCAGTAGTAACTAAAAGAAATATGTTGTTGAAAGCTTTATGCACGAACTTAGAGTGCTAGCTTGTGGTTTATGACACCTGTGATAGCGCATGCAAGACCTTGGAGCTCGTTTAATCACCAGAATAGCTAATTGTAGTTTGGTCGGAGTTGAAGGACGTCATGGAAATGGGTCTGCTAGTTGAAGCTTCGCTCTTCACTGAAAATGGATGAACATGGCTGTATTGTGAACTCTATGCTTGTTCATACTTTCTGGACCGGTCCTTGCTGTTTTTGCGGTGAGAAATCTTTCTGAGTTCTCTGTCTTCGTTTAGCTTAAGCTCTCTAAAGCTTTCCGATCGCCTATTTGGTCGCTGTAGTTGGGCCTCAGTTGAATCACCTTGTTGAACATATAAGAGTTGAAGCCTTCTTATTTCAGCAAAGATTATCGGAACAGTATGATCTATGGCCACGATGCAAGTTGAAGGTGATTAAAAGGATAATATGGTCATTAGGTGATTAAAAGTGCAGCATGGTCATATTCAAGTGGAATACTTTTCTCCTATTAATTTTAGACGGCTAATTAACAGAATGAAGGTGATGTGATAATTTTTAGAAAAAATTAAGGGATTGTATGATAGTTTTTTTAGTTAAGGGGGTGGCGGTTATATGACTGTTTTTTCAAACAAGAGGGGGTTTGTTTGATTTTAACCCTTATTTATATTAACCGTGTCCGTGCCTTACTTTTTTAAAATTTAACGCTACGACGTATCGACACATATCCATGTTACATCATGTATATGTTTCGTATTTGTGTTCGTGTCTATGTTTTTAATGCTCTTTGATTAAATTTGTGCCTTTGTATCAAACTTAATTTAAACCGGGAGCATCAATATAAAATATACACCTAAGAACAACTCCAATGGTGTGCTATATGGGTTGCCATTTTCAAAATATAGCAGGTGGGCAACTCCAATGGTGTGCTATATGGGCTACCAATTTTTAATTTTGCTAAATCTGGTGCCAAATGTGGCACAACAAATAGCTATTGCTATTTCAGAAATATAAGAGAACGAGAGAGAGAGGAGGGGGGGTTCAGAGTCGAGAACGAGAATAAATTTCCACTATAAAAAAATATATATATATTTGTTTTGCTGAAATAAATTGTAGATTACGGTGACATTGTAAATATATATATATATTTAAAAAAGATTATAAAAAATTTCACCAAATAGGATTTAGTTTGCAAAACAAGAATTACAGACTTTGATTAGTTGATTTAGAAAAAAATTAAAACAAAACCCATACATACAAGTTAGCAGTTGCAGAAAGAGCTTCAAATTCTTGTAGATTTTGTAGTTTGCAGTTGCAGAGAGAGAGAGAGAGGGCAAGTTCAAAGTCAAGAACGAGAATAGAGATCGAGGCGATTGGGGAGGCTGAAATGATTTGCGCTATGTTTTGATAGGGTTTGTTTGTTATGTAAATGATAGGTTTACCCATTTATTTTTATATAATTGACATTCTTATCTTTTACATTGGATTTGATAATTAAATTTTTATTTATTTATTTTTAATCAGGCAAATAAGCTAAATAAAATACAAACACTCAAAAAAAAAAAAAAAAATAGTTATTGAAAATTGGTAGCTACAAATGGTAGTTGGGAAAAAATGGTTGTTGTGTCAAAAAAATAACATTTTGGATGAAATGCACCATTGGAGTAGAGTTACTAAAATATAGCATTTTGACATTGTATTTCGTCTCAAAATATAAATTTAGCATACAAAAATGACGTTTTGCATTGGAGATGGTCTATTGTAGACCAATATATCAAAATACGTGATAAGTTGGGTAACCTAAGTCGAGTGGTGGGAGACTTCAGGTTTGACTTAAATTTTTTTTATTAATAATTTATCAATGTTATTTATCCCAAACAATATATTTTATTTTAGGCAAAAATGCAAAAAACCCCTGAACTATTCACTTTGTTGCAAATACCCCCCTAAGCTATAAAAGTGTGCAAATACCCCCCTGAGACTCACCGGATCAACTTTTCTTGCCTATATTAATTTGAAATGACTGAAATAACCTTACTTATTAAGTTATATAAAAAATATAAAAAATGTCTAATTTTTTCTTTTATTATACACACACACATACACACATACACAGATGCATACATATATATATCCACACACACAAGGCCGCGCTTTCACCGCCGCCTCACTCATCGCCGGTGCTTAATACCAATTCCAACTCTACAGTGCTCAAGTTCTCGCCGCCACTGATGATTACATCTGTTGTGAGATTTATATGTACTACTCGCAAGTGCACGAATCTTTGCAGATAGGGTTTACTTGTAAGGGTGTCGTACCCAAGGGACTTGTGTAAATTAAGTTTGTCAATAGATTTCTTAAATTCCAAATTAACTTAAAGTAGAATAATCGAATTGTGATGATTAATTCTAAATTAAATAAGTCGAAAAAAATAAAATAAACTAAGGAACAATGATTAAATAGGATGTAGAAAATAGAGAGAGAACTAGGGGTATGATTTCACCACTAACGTCGCACCACCAATCAATTGCATCAATTTATTGTAGATATAACATACAACATGCATAGGAAATTAATCATGGCTACAAGCACATATTAATTCAGCTATAAAATAATATAATTTAAAGTTAAGCATGGACTATCTTCGATTGGTATAAACCATCTACCTATTTACTTTACTCTAGGGTGTAGCATGGTCTATCTTTTCTAGGCATAATCCATCAAATCTCTAAAATTATATTCAGATAAGAACCATTGTGTAATCATCTCATTCACAACTACAAGAAGTGAATGAGTTGTGTTCAATCACAAGATTAAAATATCTAAGACAAAATAGAAAAATATTTGTAATTGAATTAAAACTCTAAAACCGATTCTTATTGAAAATTCAATTAAAAACCCTACAGATTACACAATCATGCATGATAAAAATTGTTTCTCCAATAATTAAATACAATCAAACTAGTGTGCTAAGCTAGGGTTACATCACAACCCTAGCAAAGTGTTTAGCCAAGCATTACTGGAGTGGAATTCTTCATGGTTGAGGAAGACATCTTCACCGCCATGGATTGATCTCTTCTTCCTTCTGAATACTTCTCCTCTGATCTCAGCCTCAAGCTCCTCTGTATCCTCCTCCAATGCTGTAGAGAACCCCCTTTAAATAATAAAAGATCAGCCTTAAAGTTCCCTTTTTTATATGGAGATATACATAGAAATTCTGTCAAATAAGGACTCCAAAATTCGTACAGACTTTTAGGCCAATTTTGACAAGGTAAACAGCTGTTTTAGGGAATCCTCGTGAAATACAAAATTATAGCTCTTCAAATTTCCTTTCAACTAATATGAGAATTTAGCCGTTTTGACACTCGAGGAAAGAGATACAGCTAATACCAAAACGGGTTCAAGTTACCAACTTTGGTGAAAGTTTCCTTTTTAGAAAAAGGATTTTTCCTTTTATTCTTCTTTCCATTCTTATCAACTTGTGGCTTCTTGTGGACTATTTTCTAAGTATAATTAGACTTGGATTTTCAACATTGCTCGGTCCCACGGAATGTCTGTTAAAGCTCAGAATCACTGGTCTTGACTGATTTTACAATTAAAGCCTTGAAATAAATAAAAATAATAAAACAATGTAAAATCACAAATAAACTATTATTAAGAGAATAAAACATGCAAATAAAGGGGCTAAAATGTGTAACATTCAGCGCCTAACAACATCCTTCCATCGGCCTTTGATTCAGGCCATTGTTAGAATTTCCTTCAATCAGTCTTTGATGGGTGTGCTATTCTTGGAATCAGATCCCTGTTGGGCGAAGCTATAAGATATTAAATTATGGTGAAAAACTTAGCTTGTGTTGCTAGACAATAAAAATTTGATGGATTTTCAAAGTTCTGTATGAAATTTATTTATATATATATAGAAAGTCCTGGACCCCTATATGTTGAAGCATGGAAAGATTATATAAACATTAGTTGATTATGTGTATTTGGCATAAGTGGCAGTTGGTGCCACACCACTATTGTGGAAGTATATCTTAGGGAGTATATGGTTGTATACTGAAACGTTCAATGCCGATGGACTGAGTGTGCGGTTGAAACCGAAGATAGCCATGAGCGGTGAGCATGAAGCTTCCGGGTTTAACTTGGGGTTCCTCTTGGTTCAATTAGGTTCGTCATGGGTGTGATTGGCTTTGTCGTGGGTTAGATTGGGTGGTGATGATGGTGGTAAAAGTGGTGGTAGTGGTGATACATATATATATATATATAGAAAACCAGCTATTGCTCGCCGGAATTCTCTTTCGCCGTTGTCCCAATTTGTCTCCTTCGTCTTTCATCGCCGCCTCAATCTTTTCCTTTACTTTAACCTCATCACCGACGGCATTGGAGGGGTTTGTTAATGGTCCCAGTTGAGTCGACTCATTCACTCCTCTCTCTCTATCTAACTCAGTACCCACAATTTGTTCCAAGACGACAACGAACCATCTCATCATCTAGCGAGACCACCACCGATACCATCCTCATCGAATCGCCATCGTCTCCTAAATAGTACTTCAACTCTGGCAACATCCACAACAACTGTTATCACCGTTCAGTTATTCCGAGAACATATCCTCTGTTCTTTATTGCTTCGTCGTCATCGGAATCCTCTTTGGTTGTCGATCCTTTCACAGTCCATCGTGGATCTGTTATCACGGTAAACGCAGTTCCACCGTCTGTGCCTCCATCTCTCTCTAACTTTCTGTATGTCTCTCTCTCTAACATAAACTTAAGTAGTCAATGGGGGTATAATTGGTATTTTATAATTAGGGTTTTTTTTTTTTATTATTTATATATATATATATAATGTAATAAATAAGGTTATTTTGGTCATTTCAAATCAACATATGCCGTACAGTGAGTCTCGGGGGGTATTTTTACACTTTTGTAGCAGTTGCAGGGTTTTTTTGCACTTTTGTCTTTATTTTATTTTTTGTTCAGAAATAGAATAAAGATAAAATACAAAGAAAGTCAAAAAGTATTCTTAAAAGCAAATATCGAAGCCGAGGGGAGGAGAAAAGATAGCACCCCTTCCCGTACTCTCGTCTCCCTCTCTCAATGGCTTCTTTGTATATCAAAACTCTCTCACTCAACCCTCAACTAGAGCTTACCAAAATTCCAAAACGCAATGTTTACAGCAAACTCAAACCATCATCAATTGACTCAACCCACATACAAAAACCACTCTACCTCAAACTCAAACCATTTCCTAAGCTTCACATTTCCCCAAAATCTTCTCATCCCTTCACGTCCCTCTCTCAACTTCACATTCTTCACAAACCCACTTCGATTTTTTCCCATATAAGCTGTTCCGCCTCAATCCAAGAGAAAATTTCCAAATTATTTACTGAAAAGATTGTGGTCTTACTAGTTGGGTCATTCATCCTAATGGGTTCTCTCGGTGCTCGACCAGTTATGGCAGTACCTGCTCAGAAAAGCAGTTATAGTGAAAGAATGGAACAAAAAAGTGAGACCCTGAATGATAAAAACGAGGAAGAGATGTATGAAAAGCTTTTGGAGGATAAGCCAAGAAATCTTGAAGCATTGAAGGTGGTTTTGTATGGGAAGATGTCGAGAGGGAAGCCAGAGGAGGCTGTGCACTACGTGGAGAGGTTGATTGATGTCGAACCGAACAATGTCGAATGGCGGCTTCTGAGGGCACTTTGTTATGAGATGATGGGGCAATTGAGCAAGGCTAAAAGATTCTTCAAGGAAATACTTAAAGAGAGGCCTCTCTTGCTTAGAGCTTTGCATGTATGTCTAGTCCCAATACTTTCTTTTATTCAATTCCTGTTCTTTTGGTATATTCTGACATACTTGTGCTGTATTATTTATTTATTTAGTTTCTGGTAGATAATTTAAATTTTTTTATAAAACTGCATTGTTACCAATTACCTTTTCGAATAGGAGAGGAATTTTGAATAAGTTAGAAACCAGGCTGCACCATATAGAGCAGAAATCTGGAAAATATCAGTTCTATTTAGTATTTATTTCTCAGTATACAAATATCCATTTGTTGAAATTCTTTGCAGTAGTTCTAATTGTCTTCAAAGTAGTCCTGACCCTCCGTGGAGCTCTATTGATGGAGGTTGGCAAGCTAAACCATGTTGCTAAGAATCAGTAGTAACAGTGAAATCCTTTTTTGCAGCTTCTGAGCTAATTGCATTCCATAGAAACAGCCTTAAGTTCATGGAAGAGGACTGAGCTGGAATTTTCAGCCAAATAAATCTTGTTGAAGGATTCCCTTCTGTTTGTACTTTATACCACATAGACGGTAGATGTGAGGTTCTAGAAACCAAGGAATCACTTTATCTATGATGAAACCCCTAGCAAGTAGAGGCCTAGTGGAAGTCCAAGTTGTCACAAGAGGGGTCTTAGAGGAAGAGAGGGGAGGAAAGCTTTTGTAATCTCCCTTAGAACATAAAAGTTGTTGGTTCTCTCTCCTAAAAGCTCTCCTCTTTGGTTGTTGTAGTTGTATAAATGAGCAATCTGTCTTCTTTTTATACTAAGTTGTCCTTGGTAAAGACTGCAAACGCGGAGGATTGGCTGTTTGTTCTTAGTGGGTGGGCTGCAAAACACAAAAGAGGTAAGATTCTGACTTCTTAGTTGTTCAAGGCTTGCTTACTTCTTAGGGTGAGGGAGAAAGGGTAGGTCATATTATGTGATTATGACAAGGAAGGTCTTGCATTAAATGCGAGGGTACTGGAAGCCTTCTTGTTTTAGGGGAGATTACTTCTCTTCTTTCCTTTGTGACAGGCCAAGGGGTTTCCACGACGTCTGAGTCACAGTGGTTCCCTTTTAGTATTCCTCAAACATCAGCCACCAAGCAAGCACTCCCTAGGGTCCCATATAGAGGATGCTGCAGCAGGGTGTTACTCTTGGACAACCACCCCCCCCCCCCCCCCCCCCCCCCCCCCCACCCCCCCCCCCCCACGCGGGCGCCCGGACCACAAGACACCATTCATAGAGGTTCACCGCAAAGATGATCCTCGAGGGTCTTCATGACACCTCCGAGGTTTTAAAACATGGAGGAACTCCTCAGTGGATCGAGGTTTATCCGTAGAGAGGAACTCTTCGAGGTTTATCCATAGAGAGAAACTACTTGGAATATTTATTTTAGAGGTTTATCCATAGAGAGGAGGTCCTCTTAATTATTAGACGGCTTCGTGGCTTATCCATAGAGAGGAGGTCCTCGGTAAAGAAAATACCTGTGCAGGGTATTGGGGATCCTCGATGGAGCTTCATTCCCACTTGGGGCCGCACTTGAAGATGCTCAAATAAATTAGTTAGAAGAAGAAGTTATGAGATAGTGGCTGAGTTGGCAAGGTCTGTGCCACGTGTCGTGGGTTAAGCCATGGACTAGTGGACTAGGTCCCCACATACCCAAATATGGCATCTGCCATATTGTGCCACCTAGATCAGTAGGGATTATCCAAAAGTTAAGGATTTGGGTTTTAAACACACAGATTTTTGAGATGATGATGAGACATCCTGAGCAGACCAATTTAATTGAGAAATGAATCATAATTAAGGTGAAATAAGACTTTGAGGGAAGTTAGTTAAGGCAAAATGTGTCAGACTGTTTTAGCCACAATCGATAAAAGGAACTCACTGCTTTGCCTTTCAGTTGAGCAGTTTTCACATTCAAAAAACCTATTCATCTGGTGAAGTGGGAGAGAACATGGAGTCTGGGACACATGCCGATTCCAAGTTAGTCACTTAAAGCAAGTTAAACTACCTTTAGAAGATCAGATCCGGCTAGAAATAGAGGAAGTTAAAAGTAGAAAAGGTCCTTGACCAACTCAACAATCAGCACTTCTATATTTTTATCTCAGTTTGCTTAGTGTAGCTATAGCCATAGCAGTAGCTTTACCTTTATTTTTCAGCAGTAAATCAAGTTATCATAGCCGCAGCCTTACTTAGTTTCTACTTTGATATTCCACAAAGTGTCTGTTTTGAGGCTCACATCTGCACCAGTGGCGACAAGCTAAAGTAAACTACAATTAAACTAAAGAACATGCAAAAGAAACAAGCTAAAGTAAATAGGGTGTAGAGAATGGGAGAGAGGTCTTAGGGCATAGGAATCACCACTAAGCTCTTCCTCTTAACTTCTAGTCTTTAACAGATTGGGGGTATTCAAAGTTGTAAACCAGGTGTGTGCTATCAATTGAAACAATGAGCATGGATTGACAAAACAATGTGAATTGTCTATTTAAGCTAGGGTGTAGTACAACTCATCAAGTTAAGGCATTAACCATTCAATAAACCCACAATTGTAGCACACAACAATCTAGAGAAATGTACATCTTGCAACCAAAAAGCATGGATTATCATACACAAGCATCGATTGTCTACCTAATCTACGAATTGAAATGCAATTACACTACAATTACACTAAGACAAGAAAATTAAAAAATTAAACTAATTAACTAGGGTTGTAGAACAATCCATCAAACATGAGCGTAGTCCATCAAATCAATTCACAAGAGTATCCAATATAATAATAATCATGCATAACCATCACTAGATTCTCAATTTAACTACACATAGACATGCATCAAATCTAGAGAAACTAGTGTAGAGACATAACCGTCAATTTAATGACACATAGACATGTAAATAAACTAGAGAATTAATTAGAAGTATTGAACCATACAAATCACAAGATTTATTTAATCACAAGGTTAAAACATTATTTACAACATGAATCCCCAAAAATGTCAAAGATTAAAGTTAAGATTACAAGCCTAGGGCTTTTCCCCTAAGAGGATGATTTAGCCACTCATGGATGTGTTCTTGTAACCCTCAAGGTATTCATCTTCTTCCTCTTGGTCTTCTTGGTAGAAACCCTAGAGATGGAGAGAGAGAGTTTTCCAAAGTGTGTCTAATCCCCCCTTAATCTCTTGCCAAAATTGTCCAACTAATCAACCTCTTTACCAAAAATGGTTAAATCCCTTATATAGGTAGCTCAAATGACACCCTTAATGGTCAGACCTCGTGCACTAGGACCTCCAAATGATTGCACCACGAGCACATCTTCAATTGGGCTTGAATTCTGTTTTGCACAGTTGTTGAGGCAGTTCGATCGATCACATTGTTGCTTCGATCGATCGAAGCTTGGCGGCGGATTTATTTGGATAAGGACATGGGTTGAGATATTTATGGGGATAATGACAAAAGTAGTTATGAGGATAAGATCAAAAGGTTTGATCGATCATAGAGAAGTTGGATCGATCGAAAAGGGAATTTTTCTGAGGATAAGGACAAGGCTTCGATCCATCATAGCAGGGTTGGAACGATCAAAGTGTGATCGATTACAGCAAGGTTCGATCGATCGAACAGAGACAATTTCCATCTTTTTGCTTCCACTTTGCTCTATCTTTCCTTTAGACTTTGGATTATCTTCTCCAATGCTCTAATTCAGCTGATTTAGCTCATTTTGGGATTAAGCATCTGAAAAGGGGAAAAACGTAAAATAAAACTAAAGCGGGAAAGTAAGATAGAATAAGGTCCTAAAACACTCAAGGTTAAGGGTTCAAATGCGCACTTTTCAGTGCTTATCAGGAATAGCTCACTAAACCTTATTATTTCATGACAGAAGCGTTATTTATTTATCATTATAATTATTTTTTATCCCACAACGCTTGGAATGGTTCTTCATACTTCTTTGGTGTGATATGATTTCCAGAGAAAAACATGATACACATTTTTGGCATGTCTCTGATAAAAAAAAGAAAAGAAAAAGGACTAGTCTAGTGCATGAGGCTCCCATCGTTACGGGGCCTGGGTAGGGTCAGGTCTACGCAGCCTTACCTCTGCATGCATGTGGAGAGACCGTTTCCTTGTTTCTGTTAGGTTTGTAGTCTTAGGTTGGCAAATTTTGTAGAAAAAAACTCATAAGATGTAATTATGGAATCTGGACTATGTTTAGCTCTGTGAGTTGTTGATGTAGGACAATTGAGCAGCCTTGAATAGTTGAAATAAATAAGAGTTATGGCTGGAAATTCAGATAAACAAGGCTGTGGTTTAAGAGTTGTTAGTTGGGAAGAAGGATTGAAAATAACTGGAAAAAAACCTATTGGAATCACTCCAACAGGGCCTAGGTATCACACCTAGAGAAGGCCTCACACTCTCAGAATTTGTGAATCACTCAAAGAAATCTCAAAGACTTTTTTTATTTATTCATTGACTGATTCACCAAGATTACATTTTACCCCTTTTATAGCATCCTATTACCCTTCGATTATCCCTAATTGAGGCAATCAATACTTGACTCTAACATAATAAAAGTAATCACCCCATAATTGAGGTAATCAATATTTGACTCTAGGATTACCTCATAATTGAGGCAATCAATTGACCCTTGGATTACCCAATAATTAAGGTAATCAATACTTACCGAATAGCATAATTAAAGTAATTAAAAGTTGATCAAATCTCCCAATTATTCAAACTCCATGTGGACCCATATTATCTAGCCTATGCCAGCTCAACTCTTAGAATCCTCATTTTAGCGCCTTTTATACACCTTTAAAGATTTCTGCCATTGATCTCCATAAGTTTTCTAGAAGTGATGGTTAGTTGTTAGTGAATGTATTGATGAGACTTTTACTTCTACAACGAACATATTCAACGACTTTGTCAAAACAAGGGATAAAGGTAAATTTACTTCAACAATCATCGTCACCGTATTAGGGTCATGCATGCATGTTTATATAATCGAGTATTTTATAAACTTACCTGAGCATCTATAA